TCGCATATCGCATTATACAAATAGCGCATAGCGCATAGCGCATAGCGCTAATCGAACACTAGAAACTCGAAATTCGAAAATCGCATATCGTGTATGCACATAGCGCATAGCGCATAGCGCTTAGCGCATAACGCATAGCGCATAACGCCTATCGCTTATTGAAAACTCGAAACTCGAAACTCGAAAATCGCATATCGCATTATACAAATAGAGCATAGCGCATAGCGCATAGCGCATAACGCATATCGCTTATCGAAAACTCGAAAGTCGAAACTCGAAAATAGCATATTGCGTTATGCACATAGCGCATAGCGCATAGCGCGTAGTGCATAACGCGTATCGCTTATCGAAAACTCGAATGTCGAAACTCGTAAATCACATATCGCGTTATGCAACTAGCGTACAGCGTATAGTGCATAGCGCATAGTGCATAGCGCTTAGGGCATAGCGCTTAACGCATATCGCTTATCGAAAACTTGAAAGTCGAAACTCGAAAATCGCATATCGCGTTATGCAAATAGCGCATAGCGCATAGCGCATAGTGCATAGCGCATAGCGCATAGTGCATAACGCATATCGCTTATCGAAAACTCGAAAGTCGAAACTCGAAAATCGCATATCGTGTTATGCAAATAGTGCATAGGGCATAGTGCATAGCGCATAGCGCATAGCGCATAGCGCATAGCGCATAACGCATATCGCATATCGCATATCGCTTATCGAAAACTCGAAAGACGAAACTTGAAAATCGCATATCGCGTTATGCAAATAGTGCATAGCGCTTAGTGCATAGCGCATAGCGCATAACGCATAGTGCATAAAGCATTGCGCATAGCGCATAACGCATATCGCTTATCGAAAACTCGAAAGTCGAAACTCGAAAATCGCATTTCGCGTTATGCAAATAGCGCATAGCGCATAGTGCATAGCGCAAAGCGCCTAGCTATTCGATTACGATACCTTCGAATTTATACGCAATGCTAAAGCAGACAAATAGCAAGTAATAGCGGTTTCCTTAGACATAAAGGCGGCCTTCGATAATGCTTGGTGGCCGTTTTTATTGAACAGGTTTTTTTTCATTATCTGTATTTGAAACACATGCAACATTAAGACATAAACGGATAAACATGAACAAACAATAAAGCTAGTAATAAACTAAATTAATTATAAATTATTAACCCAAGGCCCAGGCAGCAGAGTCCCGTAGCGATTGGATACTTGGGTGTAACCGCTGCCTGGGCAAAGTGCTTATAAAGCTATATTAGGACTAAAATTATATTTAAAGTGGAAAATGTTAACACAAATGATATAAAGAAACTTAAATAAAATTCTTATTTTTTTTTCAGTCTAAATATAGTCTAAGAAATAAATAATAAATTATAAATAAAACAATAATAATAATAATTGGGTGACTAGTAATCTGTAAGATATAAGAGTAAATAATGTGGTTATGATGAGTTCTGAGTGATGGGATTTTTAAATAACTTTAAATTGTCTATAATGTATGTAATAAATTGGATAAAAGAATCGATTGCAGGCATTTTTTTACAAGTTCTTTAAGAGTTTATGGCGGTATTTTGAGGTATCCACAAAGGAGTTGGTGATCTAATCTTCGCTTTAGGAAACGGGGGCAGTCTTCTATCAAATGTTGTAGTGTTTGTGGAGAGGTGTTGTTACAGGGGCAAGTTTCGTCATCGGTGATTTTGAATCTATGGAGGTATGTATTATGGAACCCGTGCCCCGTGAGATATTGGGTGAATTGGAAGGAAATCTTAGCAACGGACCACAGGCTGGCCACGCTGTCTGAGGTGGGGAGTAAATGTCTTGTATGACTGCCTTGCGTTGCATTTTGATATCTGACCTTCCAGGTTTGACGTTGCTGTAGTCTTATAATTTGTTAAATGTAGGATAATGGAAAGTAGGCATAATCGGAGCGTTTATGAAGTGTGGAGGCGGAGTTAGCTAATAAATCTGCAGCCTCATTACCGGCAATGCCTGTTTGGCTCTTCACCCACATGATTTGAATCTCGCCCCCTATTTTTCTGTGTGAGTGTATTGTGTTATGTATTTGAATGACAACGGGGTGTGTGGTATTTCTGTTTCTAATGGCTAAAATAGAAGAAAGGGAGTCTGTGAGGATGTAAGTGTTTTTGTAATTTTTATTGTTAACCCATTTGCATGCCTCTGAAATGGTTAGCAGTTCAGCTTGAAACACTGTGCAGCTGGTGTGAAGCTTGAATTTCTTGGAAGTCACTTTGTTGGTTTGTGGGTCCCAGCTAATGAAAGCTGCGCCAACTGTCCCGTCTTGTTGTTTGCTACCATCAGTGTAGATTTTGTTAGCCTGAGGTGGGCAAGTACTGAGCAGGTTAAAGGAGGTGAAATGCCCTGGTAATATACACAGGCTCATAGAAAACTACCTTAAGAATAGAACTGTCACACTGAACTACGGGAACAACAAAACCTACAAAACACTGAACAAGGGATGTGTACAGGGATCCGTGTGCGGACCGATATTTTGGAACGTAATTCTGGACGACTTACTATCAACGATAAGCGTCACAATAGATAATAGACTTACCTTCACTGAACACTGCAAAATAATCATAGAGAGAGCCTATAAAATATATCGTAAATTAGCCAACCTTATTAGACCTACATGGGGCGTTCATCCGGAAAATATCGCTACAATATATACTCGTAACAATGTCATTCAACCTACGTTCACATACGCTGCTGGAATATGGGGTTCTGCCATCCAATACAAATATATACAAAAACTACTCAGAACACTTCAAACCCATGTTGCCCTCAAAGTTACTAGAGCCTTTAGAATGGCGCCGGATATCACAGTCATTGCTTTGGCAAAATTTACACCACTACACCTCATAATAGACGAAGCTAGAAAGATCCAAACAGTAATAACAGCAAAAACCATACCAAAACTGCCTAGAGACGTTGTACTTAGGGTAAAAGCGATACCTAATCAAAAATGACACCCTGCACACCGTTAAACAATTAAATTCTTAGAAGTAACATCACAACCTGAAATAGACAAAATTACCGACAGAGCAAACATCAAAATATATACCGACGGAAGTAAGCAGGAAAACGGGGACACAGGAACCGGAGTGATCGTTTACCTCCCAAACAATAAAAAAAAAAAGATTAAGCTACATAGAACTCAAATCGTATTCATCGTAGCTATTGAAACCGTACTCAAACATATCCAACGACTTCCACCAATAATAGACAAAACATTAGTAACTTTAGCTTCAGACAGTCAATCTGCACTCAAAGCTCTACAGGACCGAAATCACCCAGACCCCACCATATTATCCATACACAAAACACTTCATCACCTAAAAACTAATTCTCAAACAGACATTATATTCATATGGGTTAAATCCCACATTGGCATCACCGGAAACGAAGCAGCGGACAACCTAGCAAACAAAGCTTGCACCTTAAGAACAGCACCTATAGGCAAACTATTCCCAATTTCCTACGCGAAACATCTAATAAAACAACAAACCCAAAATCTATGGCGGAAACAATACGAAACCGAAGCCCCATCACATTATATTCATAAATACCTAGCTACATTGGACCACGTACACAAATTCATTAACCACATAGCACCTACCTTCGACATAACGCAAACATTAACAAACCACGGCTACCATCGCGAATACCTACATAGATTCCACATCACAGACACAAACACATGCCCCTGCGACGACACAAGCACACAGCCCCTAGAACACATCATTCAAAAATGCCCAATATTTGCCAACACTAGACACAACCACTGGATAAAAGAGAGGCCCTGCGTGCGGCCCTGGCCCTCCCTATATGTGTCGAGCCCCTACCAAGGGTCTCCCCCAAACCGGGTCGTGGATAAACTAACGTAGTTGCTATGGTCCGGTTCAAGGAGAACACCGTGGGGTTTAATGGGTAGTCCGACCGGAATTTATAAGGCCGAGAGTCCTACGCGAAAGTGTCCCTGCTGCCTCCGCTGCATGGACGGTGAAGTGCGTAAATGCATTCCCGGGACGAAAAAAAAAATTCGATTTTATCAATACGGATTGCATAGCCCTACGAGCATTATAATCTACGTCAAAACCAATTTTATTTAAACTCGTAATTCGAGTCGATTCGTATCACTCCAAACTCGAATTCTTTAAAAAAAATACTTGAGTGCGAGTAATATAAAGACTACTCGAATCCCATCACTGTACCTATATGGTAACATTTTGAAATTGACATTTCTTAGTGTCAAATCCTATAATATTATCACATCGCTCAATCGCTCATTTTGACATTACAGACAAACATATTTTCTATTGCATTTAATTTCATTGCACTAATATGTTAAATAAATAAAACAAATATTAATATATTGAACATTTAATTCAACTGATAGACACTTCAGAGAAGTTAGAGTCGCGGAGTAAGTTTGAGAAGATGCCTACTATTCATTTAAATAGTTTAAAGGAGTCCAATGGCCAAAGCGCAAAGTCACACCTAGAAGTTAAGGAAGGATTTCGAGTGCGAGTTTGTCTCGAGCGCTTCTTCTCGGACCAGCGTTCCCGGGCATATGTCAACGTGATTCCACACCATAGAGTGGAATGGCTGCAACAACACCTCACGAGTATATTCGGTTTAAAAGGACTATTTTGTCTTTGCAGTAATGGATACTTGTTACCTTCAGAGGAACCCTTGTCTATTCTTCAACCCAATGACCCAGTTGAGTGAGTGACTGTTTTGTAATCATACTAATACTACTATTATAAATGCGAAAGTTTAGATGGATGGATGGATGTTTCTTAGAGGTTGTAGCCTGAACAGCTGAACGGATCTACATGAAATTCTGCATAGATGTAGAACATAGTCTGGAAGAACACATAAGCTAATTTGCTTTTGTTTATTTTTTGAATTCCATGCGGACAGAGTCGCAGGCGAAAGCTAGTGTTATATACTCACTACAATCAGATCGCTGGAAATTTTTGAGCAGATTTCAAATATGGAAATGCTATTATTGCAATAAATACATTGGAGTATTGATAGATGTTGTAGATACATGTTTTGCAAGTTTTTTTGTCTTTTCTCTAAAGTAGCTAGGAACAATTTAAAAGTATGAGATGTTATTTAAAAAACAATCATTTATTACAGGGTTATTCCATTGTCCAAAGAATTTTTTAACTATGCAAATGCAAACTTATCAAGAATTAACTTACAATCAAATGAGACATTTAATTCTCACAGCATAATTGATAGTATGGTGGTATTGAACTGTTCTGCCGGGGAAGTCAATGAAGAAGTTGCAGGATTCAAAGAGGATCAAGATACAGAATTACTATGTATGAAGCAGCAAGCTATAGCACTACTAGAGACTTGCTGTGAAGATACTGCTAGTGCCGAGTTTGATTCAGGTCAGGCAGTGAACATTACTGGAGATAGCGACAAACCTCGTCGCACTCGAAGACGCGTTCGACGCCGCAAGCGACATTTGTCTGCTGGGGATTCAAATGGGGGGACAAGAAATGGGGAGACTAATAAAGATAACATAGAAAATTTTGCACAGCCAATTTTAGAGAATAATGGATACACCCTCATGGAAGAGAAGGGTGGAGTAGGTGATTTAGTAAATATGTTTGAGCATGTAGATAAGGCTGCAGTAAAAGATAATTTGGCTGATACACGAAAAGCACGTATCATACACTCAATTTCGCCTACCCAAACTTAACTTAATAAAGGTTAAATTCTCTTAACATTTTTTTTATTTACCGTATGAAACACATAATTATTTTAATAAAAGTGTCAATAAACACTAATTGATAAATACCACCATGATAGATGACTGTTTTTGTGTGACAAAATAATAATGTCAATGAATGTCAGACGAACAGCAGAATCCAGATTATAAACAAAGACTGCTTGTATACTGATTATTTAGAGGAATAGGAATTTAAATAGGCTCTGAAACTACTGGACCTATTTACAGAACTCTTTCACCATTAAAAAGTTTCGTTTACATATAAGGATGTATTACATTTAAAAGAGTTTGTGGTTAAAAAAGCGTAAGATAACGAAGTGTATATAAGGAATAAGGATTTTTTAAAATTATATGATATAACTAGCTGTTGCCCGCGACTTCTTTCGCGTAAAATTTGAAAGTTCAAAACCGTTCGCTCCTTCAACCTATCACCTAAAGTATTAACTTAGTAGTAATCTAATCTACCGATGCCAGATTCCAAATTTCTAAGCCTGGTAGTTTGTGAGCTGATTTTTCGGTTACCCTTGTTGTTTATGTTCGCGATATCTTCTAAACTATTAGTCTAATTTAAATACTGTAAAGGACAATTTTATTCTACATTAAATTCCCCTGGCAACAAACATATTTATTTGGATAAGGATTAATAATGAAACTAATAATAGAACGTTGAAAATAGCGTGCGGCTTTTTATCATTTTGTAAACAAAATTGTTAACAAATATTCCATGACTGTCCTCTCTTTTTCTATATATGTTATAGTACTCTTTGCTATGTGCTTATGTGCTTAAAGTAATGAGCATATAGGTGTACAAGTTTCCTTTGGCAGCCGGAAATTTTATGAAATAAAAAGTGACACTTAACGTCAGGGTAATAATGACATAGCTTGTCAGTTCACTTCGCGTCATTACTTTACGGATTTTGTGTGACTTTTTAATATTATTCCATGAAATAAAGTGATGAAAGTAGTGCAAGAGAGTTTTTTTAGGGAAGAGATATTTTTATCGCTGAGTAGAAGCAGGGGGTCCAGTATTACATTTAAAAAAGTGAATCATCTTGTGTCTGTTGCAATCAGAATTTGTTAGCATTTTTTAATCAAGAAATTCCCTAACTGTCACGGCGACACATATTTTTAGATTTGTAATTGAAAAAAAAAACTGTTATATTCTAATCGACTTAAAAATATTTTGCTGAAAGTTGTTTTATTTCCTATTTCAAATTGCAATGACCGACCCTTTATTTTAACGTGTTTGGTGCACCTGGAAGTATGGCCTTCTTGACGTTAATTTCATATTTACTTACGTATTAAGGAAATTACTGTGTGTGCTCATTAATTTATCAGAAACTAACCACATAGTTGTACTGTGCGTTGATTATAAACAACAATAATTAAGATTTCTATTATTCTGTAGATGAGCGCTAAGTAAAACTATTTCTATTAAGAATATTCCTTCCCTAACTGTCTCAAAAGAGTGCATTGCTAAAAGCTTGCTACAAAGATTCTATATCTATAGAGCCTTCTAACCGACAAACGAAGTCTGGGGCATTTACTAGTTACATTGTAAGGTACAAGTACTTCCTTAACCATTTGCCTTCTCGTTTTCAGAAGGAAAGAATTTCCTTTATTGCGGACATATTACCTTGCTGGTAACCCTAAATGCTCAGAGGCGCCACCCTGTCAATGTCAAAAAGGTGCCACAATAGTCTTGTGGCACTATATTCTCTTGTCTATTCTCTAAACAAATAAAAGTCTTGAAGGAAACGGTATTTGTATATTAGTTTATTTTGCAATTGTAACTTTATAGAACATAATTCTGATATTTTGAAGAGGAAAGGGTGGTCAAGCCTGTGAAATAAACGAAAACCTTTTATAGTGTTGTGGAATTATCGGATGTGTATATTTGAAGTGTTTGAACAATAAACGATACAGAAGTGAAGGAAGCGGAGAGTGCGGCGTTGTGTTGTGTCGTGCGGCACATGTGATGGTGGCGGGCGGCGCGCCGCTGCGTGGGCACTGAGCGATGGCGAACGTGGAGAACGTGGAGAACGTGTGTCCGCAGGTGCTGCGCGGCGTGGTGCGCGAGGTGCGCCGGCTGGCAGCGGACCCGCCCGCCGGCGTCAAGTTGCTGCTGCGCGACAACGACCTCACTGACGTGGTGGCGCTCATCGACGGTCCAGGTACCTGCCCCTACGCCCTGCGCTCTGGGCCCGGTCGCTTATCATTGGCTCGTATGCTTCCGAGCGATCCCTTGAGCTCAAGGAAACCTTAGTGCTCAAGGTTACTTTTAAACTATTTAATTTAAGATTCAAGATGCAATTTTTCCTATTTAAGGTAGGGATATATTTTTTGCTTGGCTCCATACATACTGTCGTACAACATGATAAATAAGAAGAGGAATTGAACTAATTGTATTAGAATTCTACTGGAATTTTATGTAACAATGTAGTGTAACACAAAAGTGTGAAATGTCTTCATGTTTAAAATATATATTTAACGAAAGGTAAATAAAAAAGTCTAAAACAGAAAAGAGGTTAAAAAGAAAAAAATAAAATGATGACCGACAGACAGTGGACTGATTTTTCATCGCAGCTATCATTGGTTTGCTCTAACAATAGAGTGTACTGAGACAATAGTTTTCAATGAAACATGAGATTGTTTAAGTTTAAAGGGCAAGTGGGGGAGTGTAGAAGACAAAATGGTCCTCCCATACTCTTGAAACCACTCCCTTTTTAAGGAAGCTTATGATATCCAAAAAATTTAGAAAACTATATGTTCCAAATGCAACCAGAAAATATTTTTTTCATTACACTTATTGTTTGTGATATCTTGAAAGTATTTGTCAGATTTCTGTAATGAAAAAGGAAATTTTAATTTTGCTTCTTACTCTTAATAATATTCTAAGAGTTTAGATGGATGTTTGTTTGTAGTGTAAATTGTTGTATAGATTTCAATGAAATTTGGCCGAGATTTAGAAGATGGTAGTCAACAACAAGTTCTCTAGATTTATTTAGATAAGGGCTCATTTTAAAATCAACAAAATAACCCCATATTTGAGCAATTATTAATTTCTTTTCCTTCAAACCTAGCATGTTGTTGCACCAACTTTCATCACCTTGACTGCATTACATACTTATACTTAGGGGTAATAATGAATTATGACATAAGTCAATTGGCCCAAGCCTATTGAAAATGTAACTAAACTGTTATTGAATACAGCCAGTTGAAGAGCTTATAAATTATGATAGATAATTATCATTAGACAATAATAGCGCCGTTGCCGCGACTCCGACTGGTAAGGTTTAAAAAAAATCTTAACTTCCAGATTATGTTCTAAATCTAAGCCAAACTTTATTAGTTGGCTGATCCGTTGAGCCATTCTATGTTTTCAGATACGTAACAATAAAAACTTTTTCATTTATTATATTAGTAAAATGAGGAAATACTCAGTTTAAGTAAAAGCGTTTTCATGTCAGCCGATACGCCTTACG